GAGGCGGCAACCAGAACGATGGAAGGCGACGAAGAAGGTAATTTTTTTCCTCCAAAAACTATTCTTATTTGTTGCATACATCGATTTCGGATGAAAGCAAATGATGTGAACTTTGAATTGAAAAAAAAAATGAACCAACAACGTATTATTTTGAAATTTTCTCACTGTATGAAACATGACTGATTGAGAACCTGAGTTTGCTTTAATTCGTTGTTATGTTTCATATAATCCGACAAAGCTTTTGTGAATTTGTGATGATGTGGAAGTAAAAGTGCATATATCATATATGGAGAAAAGACTTTTTTGTTTTGTTTTTGCGTAATGAAAAAAGGTGTGTTTGTAATAGCATTGAGTGCAATGTTTTATATGTGGTTTTGCTACTGTAGTGACTTTGGGTTGATTGACTTTCAAAAAATGCATTTTGTATACCAAGTGCACATCTACCAACTATGCAAAAGTGTAGTTGTAATTGGTTGGGGTGCATCTTGTTTGGAAATAAAGTAACCTGATTTGCATATGTGAGGTAGTATGTGGGAATAAAATTTAGAAACACTCATATTGTAATAGGATAAAGTGAAAGTTGACATATGATGTGTTTGGTGTGGGTACAGAGTGCATAATGTTTATGAAGTAAGTGCACTTATAAATAATGCATTAGAACGGAGATAAGTAATAGTTAAGGTGCACTTGTAATTCACTAAAGTGCATGTATTTAAAATGCGTAAAGGTCAATAAATGTGCACTTAGATAAAATGAAGTGAAACAAATATGCAAATGTGCACTAGGTATGATTTATTATTATTGTTATGTGAATGTGCATGAAATTAATGTAATATGTTCAGCAAATATTGAAATAGTCCATCAATGTCGTCATATCTAATGTTTGTTCTTCTGTGACAACACACGGTTGAAAACACCATCTTCAAATGGTTTTGTAATGTGGATGAAGTGAGGGTAATATGTTCATACATAGAATGATCTAGTGCATCACTTTTGTAGATGTTTGATGAACATGATGTGTATTAGAATGACCTTTGGATTAAAGTGTGCATTGGTTATAAAACATAGTGCATTGTTTTTCTATTAACAGTGAGTGGAGACACAAGGTTGCATTTGGTCAAGAACAATAAAGGGAAAAGACTAGCTTTAACTGATGCACCTGAGAACCAACAACGTAGGCTGAATTGAATTGTATTTACTTGTTTGCTTAATTAATGCATATCTTGTTTTCTTTGCTATATTCTCATCTCCAATATCATTTTCATCCCTTTCACAGGCTAAAAACAAGTGTTGTGTTAGAAGAATCAAATCTTTCAAGGGATGACTTTGAAGAATCAAAATGTCCCAAGAAGCTCTATAGATTGTACAATGAGATGCTTGATCATGATAGCTTGAATTGTCCATTGAACAAATATAACTTCATAATATCATTATCCTTATGTACTAGTTTTTTTCTGCATTTTGATTTCCTATGTAATGGTATGTACATTGTATACATGTTGATGAAATCAATCTATCTTTACTTTTGTTTGTTGTATGTGATGTTTATGTATGATATGTGCTCATACAATTTCATATTGATATATTGTTTCTATTATTATATTAGCATTTGTATTGTGTTGACAGATGATGCATATTGCACGTACTTCTTCTGAATAAATGCATTCATGGTTTGCGATGTCTTCTCGGACTACTATAATAGTACCACATTTAAATGCATTATAATATGCACTTCTTATCACACCTAACTGCATTATTAAACAAATTGATATGCACAGTATGTTCTCCTATTAGATAAATACATGCATAATGACTCATTAATAAGTTTTTTTATATAATATCTTTACTGACAGCCAATTTACACTACAATATGCAATCCTCTTCACATTTGAATGCATTTTTAAATTCATTTATATGCATAATGTGTTTGTCTAGTCATGAAATAAATCTTGAATTGGTCGAGTTATATTTGTAATACATACACTATATTAGTGTGCTCCATATTTGAGTTCATAATCAATTAATTAAGTTTAACATAATACTATACCAACAATATAACACACATATCCGTTTTATAGTTAATTGTTTTCAATCATGCATCTCAATGATGTCAATATTCTTATTAGTCGCATAACATAACCATATGCACCTTGTACAACAAGTAACTGCATCACACGATCCATTTACTGCACCATACGATATTGTAGTAGCGTTTATAACGTTTGTAGTATGCAGCTCATGTAACACTGCCTCATATCAACAAATACTTCATAGTTCATACTTATCTATATGCACCCACCTTATATAAAGATTGCACCAATTCTAAATATTCTGCATATTACATTGAATACACAAAACCTGATTCCTATATGCGGTCATCTAATTGCACATTTCTATTCTCTGCAAGCACATTTTCTTCTACATTTCAATCTTTGATTGCAACTGTTTCACTACATGCACTAGTTTACGCTCCTAACATAACCATCACATTTGAAACATAAATGTTTGAATCCTCTTTTTCTTCTCCTTTCTGTATTATGACGCAATTTACTACTACATGCTTTGGCGGTCTCAAATCCTGCATATTTATCATTATTACGGTTTTTGCTTTGCTTCGTATTTCTTGTCGTTGCAAGCACAATTCTTTTGTTTCTCAATCTTGAAATGCAACTGCACTAGAGCACTAATCTTGCCACCTAAAATAAAAATCCATGCCAAAATCCATTACAGTAGTACAAATCATATTTAAAAAAATCAAATTATATACTTTATAACCTTCACAATCAGGCGGCATTTGTACTTGTTTTAGCTAAATACTGAAATTCATCATTAAATGCACTTAATGGCACCTTGAAATGCACTTAAACCAACATTCATATGCATATTAACCCCATCACACAAAAATCAACATCCACACTTAAATGAACATTCACATGCATATACATATGCACCTTCATATGTACAAATCTCAATTACAAACACCACTCCTTTTATTGAACTGCACCCTACCTGATACACAACGTCCACACTCAACATTGAATTTCACCTTTACCTAAACTATTTTTCATATTAATTCCTTCACACAAAACCCACATTCAACTGCACAAATCTGAAAATAGGGACACCAATCCAAAAAACGAAAATAATTATAAATATACTAACCCAATAACCCAATAAACGAAAACTTGGAGAATTTAAACAATGCGAAAACAGGAAAAAAAATACTTACTGAACTCCATGAAAGAACGTTAGGTGGAAGACAACCCACACCCGATGAGCAGCAAACCGAATACGTTAGTTTCACGGTCGACAAGGAAAAACAAAGAAATCCGATCATTAGTTGTCACGATGAAATCCGATCAATACGCGCAAGGAGAGAAGACCGACGAAGGGGGAAACTATGTTTGGAAAGGATTGAGGAGAAACGGTTATGGAAAGAATCATGCAGCGTTATCTTAGGCGCAGGAAATAATTAGGAGAAACGTTCAAATGAAAGTGACTTGAATACCCTCTGTCTAATTTAGGTGCACGAATGATTAGAAGGTAATCCAATGGCTCACATCTATTCTTTTTTACTCTCCTAAGATTAAGTTCTCACATGAACATATATATATATATATATATATATATATATATATATATATATATATATATATATATATATATATAGAGAGAGAGAGAGAGAGAGAGAGTACTCTTCCGGTCCCTCCCTTCCTGACCGGAGCGCCGTCCGACATCCTTCTTTTGGGGAGGTTCCCGGTGGTATTTTTCGCTCAAATTTTTTGTGTATGTTCCTCATCAAGTATAGTTTATCCATACCAAATTTGAGTAAAAAATTCCATCGGGAAGGCCGTCAAATGATTTTTGAAAGTTAACTGGTCCGGAATATACATATAAAACGCAGTTAACTTTCAAAAATCATTTGACGGCCTTCCCGATTGAATTTTTTGTTGAAATTTGGTATGGATGGACTAGACTTGATGAGGAACATACCCAAAAAATTTGAGCAAAAAATACCACCGGGAACCGCCCCAAAAGGAGGAGGCCGGACGGCGCTCCGGTCAGGAAGGGAGGGACATGAATAATCCTATATATATATATATATGTATGTATGTATATATATGGAAAACTTTCCGGTAAGGTATACCTTACCGGAGCCGCCGTGCGGCCTCCACGTTTTGAGTATCTTCCCGGTGGAATTTTTCGATGAAATTTTTTGAGCATGTTCTTCATCAAGTCTAGTACACCTATTCCAAATTTCAGCAAAAACTTTAATCGGGAAGGCAGCCAAACGATTTTTGGAAGATAACTGCACCCTTTATATACATATAAAACACAGTTATCTTCCAAAAATCGTTTGGCTGCCTTCCCGATTGATTTTTTTGTTGAAATTTGGTATGAGTGTACTAGAATTGATGAAGAACATGCTAATACAATTTCATCGAAAAATTCCACCGGGAAGGCTCTTTCATTTGAGCTACTTCCGGGTCTAATTATTTAATGAAATTTGGTGAGAATGTTCTCCATGGAATAAAGATTATGGTCACCAAGTTTTAGATTTAAATTCAATCGGGAAGTGAGTTAATTAAATTTTTGAAAATTGCACAGTTTTTTAGGCCTAAAAATGCACGTTTTTACAATAAATTATTTAACTAACTTTCCGATTGAATTTTAATATGAAATTTGATGGACGTAATCTACACTTCATGGAGAATATGATCAAAAAATTTCATAAAAAAATTTGACTCAGAAGCACCTCAAATAAAAAGGGCTAAAAATTACAACTTTTAGGCCTACCGTACATGAACATTATCCTATATATGTGTGTGTGTGGAGGGATTCAGTGGTGTCAATTGACACCACACTTCAGAGGGTGGCTCCACCCCTGAACGGGAACCTTTTAACACGATGAAGGAAGTATGAATGTATGATTTTTGTTTGGTTATAATTCTCTCAACCCACTATAAACCGATTCAAATCGAAACTGATGAAAACCAAATCTAAAAGTGATATGCCCACTCATACGAGAGATTACAAATAAATTACAAATAAAAATAGAAATATGAGGGTTCATATTAGGCCATTTATCTGCCTGTACATTTTCGATGCAAAAAAGAAAATTTTGGTAGTTAGTTCCTCTCCGACAAATACTCTGAAGACAACTATTGGATTCCCAGTACACAGTTTGTTGATCAACAAGACATCAATCACGTTCCCGAATCTTTTCATGGCTGACATTTATATCTATACTTAAATCTTGAGATATCTCAAATCATCATTCTTCCGCCATGGACCGGCAGAAATGTGTAGTGAACGGCGGCAGTTCGTCGGAGACACCTCCGACCACCTCGGTTCTAAGGTACAACTCACCTCTGGTTCAGGTCATACTGATCGGTCTGGTTTGCTTCTGTTGTCCGGGGATGTTCAATGCCCTCTCCGGCATGGGCGGCGGCGGCCAAGTCGACCCCACGGCGGCGAACAACGCCAACACCGCCCTCTACTCCACATTCGCCATCTTCGGGGTTCTGGGTGGCGGCATTTACAACATATTGGGCCCACAACTCACTCTGCTCGCAGGGTGTTCGACCTATGTCCTCTATGCCGGATCTTTCCTGTACTACAACCATTACAAGCACCAGGCCTTTGCCATAGTCGCCGGCGCATTTCTGGGTGTTGGGGCTGGCCTTGTATGGGCCTCTCAAGGAGCTATTATGACCTCATACCCTCCCCATGACCGGAAAGGAACCTACATCTCCCTGTTCTGGAGCATTTTCAACATGGGTGGTGTCATTGGTGGGCTTATCCCTTTCATATTGAATTACAATCGGACAGATGCAGTCTCTGTTAATGACGGGACTTACATTGGATTCATGATCTTCATGTCCATCGGCGCATTTCTATCGCTGGCGATTCTCCATCCCAGTCGAGTTGTCCGCAGTGATGGAACGAAATGTACAAACATCAAATACTCCAGTGTAGGAGTTGAGCTCAGAGAGATCTCAAAGCTTTTCTTGAACTGGAGGATGCTATTGCTGGTTCCTGCATCTTTGGCAAGCAACTTTTTCTACAGCTATCAGTTCACCAATGTGAACGGGGCGTTGTTTAATTTAAGAACAAGGGGTTTGAACAATGTGTTTTACTGGGGTGCTCAGATGATTGGGTCAGTGTTCATTGGGTTCATAATGGATTTCACCTTCAAGAGTAGGAGGACAAGGGGATTGGTGGGGATTGCAGTCGTTGGTGCTCTTGGAACTGCCATTTGGGGAGGTGGGATTGCGAATCAGCGTAAATATTCGCGTGATGATATGCCTGCTCACAAGCTGGATTTCAAGGATGGGTCGGATTTCGCAGGACCCTTCGTGTTGTACTTTAGCTATGGCTTGCTTGATGCCATGTTTCAGAGTATGGTGTACTGGATCATTGGAGCCTTAGGGGATGATTCTGAGATCCTTAGCAGGTACTACAATCATCATCTTACATATTTCCATTTCTACACTAATTTCATCATACATATTAATCGTAATTTTGTTGAAAAAATTACTCCGTACATTTTAACACTTATTTCATATGGAGTATTTCCTTAGCAGGTACTACAATCATCATCATACATATTTCCATTTTTACACTTATTTCAAGTTGTGCCATCAGGATTGCTAAAAATGTTTTTAGTGTATCAGGTATGCTGGATTTTACAAGGGAGTACAGAGTGCAGGAGGAGCTATAGCATGGCAAGTGGATGCCCAAAAGGTGTCATTCCTTAAACAATTGATTGTGAATTGGGGACTGACAACAGTAAGCTATCCTCTTCTGGCTCTTCTGGTTTTGTTAGCTGTGAAAGATGATGATGGACACAAGGCAGGAGAGGGAGTGTCCGCAACTGCTCTGTCCTGAGAGATGCAAATGGCGGGTAGGGTTAGTAAATTATGAACTTAAAGGAATGCACACGTAATTTTACTTGCAATTCACAATAACCTGTTATATTTATGTCTCTGCTGCTGCTGCTGCTGCTGCTGTACTAGTTAGTTTTAAGGAACACTAACACACACAGTTGTAAATATGTTGCCAGGATTACTGTTTTATCAATAAAAGAATGAGTTTTTCTTTGCTTGTGGATGTGTTGGCGATACCTGCCAATGGTGGTAGGAAGCTAATTGTGTAAACACTAGCATATATACATACTTCCTTGGTTAAAATGCATGTTTGGAACAATGGGGTGAAAACTTGGTTCAGCTGAAAGATTACAAACAACCAGAGAAATGAAGAATGTTGGTGAGTTTCAAACTGCCTTACATTTGCCACAAGTTCAGAAAAGTCCAATTATGTGGAGTCATCCATTCTAGCTATTATTTTATAATATTGTATGGTGGTTTAACTAATGTTAACATATTTACGGAATTAGATATAACAGAGTAAATATTACGGAGTAGATCTTTTTATTCAAATTGGACTTCTAGCTATGACTATATTGAAATGTTTATAAATTATTTTTTATTAAGAAACAAACATTTCTAAGAATTAACACAAGACAAATGCTAAGCGAATGCCATTAGGGCTTTATTTAAGGAAATAAAAGAGATAGTCCCACCGCCCATTTTTTTTAAATAAAAATGAAGAGTAAAACGATAATTGGGGAGTTAAACCCGACCCAATTATGCAAGCTAAGCAATACATGTGAAAGAAGGAATACCAAAAAAGTCTAAATAAAAACCTTTCCTAGCTGTAGGAGGAAAAGAATTCATAGCCGAAAAAATAGTAAATTGATTTTTATAACTTTATCATCTTTCTTTTTTAGTTGCTTCATCCTTCCGACTATTATAAACTTATCATCCCTCCGTCCGTTATAACTTATCATCTTTCATTTTTTTGGTTGTTTAAAAAACATTGTTACTTTCCCTTTTCATCAATTAATTTGTGGTTTTTGTCTTATCCATACAACTCAATTATATAGTTTTTACTTTACTATTCTGCATGCCGGTTAAATTTGGCAAAATTTTAAAAGACATAGAAAGTACTTTTATTCAGTCTAAACCAATTTATTTAGATATGCTAAACGTGCAATTTTCTTTATATTCAATTAAAAATTCCTAATGAATGATGCATTGATTAAAGAGACCCTTTCTATATAGCCCGTTTGGTAGCATTGCAACTGGCCGAATCTTTTAAAGCTGATGAAATTCTGGTCGAAATGCCTAAATTGGATGAATTTACTAAATTATAGGGATATTATATTGAAAATATACGGAGAATTTATTAATAGAAAAAGAAAAAAAAAATGAAAAGAACTAAAATGTCATCTACAGTAATTTTATGTTAATTCAAATCGAAAAGTAACTTCAGTCTTACTTACTTTCATTATTACACCATTCAACCCTAAGACTGATTAGCTTCAAAGGCCTATTCAGGGGCTAATATTAATATATATGGTTAGGCTATAGTGAAATAGTAGAGAATTCTTAATAAAATGACATTAGTCATCCCAAAGCAGATAGAGCATGCATGTTTGTAACTTTACAGAAAACCAAATGGATAATTTGAGTTTGCACCCCACTTTATTGTGCAAATTGGACATTGCACCCCGTTTTAAAAAAACTTTGTTTTTGCACCCCCAATCTAATATGAAAAGACAAAATTGCCCCACCATTCACAATTTTGTTGGCCTTCAACATATTCTTTATTGAGGGCATTTTTGTGTTTTCACATGGGGTTGAGGTGCAAAAACAAAGATTTTTAAAAATGGGGTGCAAAGTCCAATTTAGACAATAAAATGTGGTGCAAACTCAAATTTCCCCAAAACCAAAAGCTTACTTGAAGCCGCCACCGGGCAACCCCGACTAGTGAGTAGTGGATATCAATGAACAAAGAGATGAGGCAATTGCAAACAAACTTTTAATGATTTATTCCCTTAGGTATCGATTCTCTTGGCTTTTAGGTTGTAATAATGGGAAGACGAAAATATTCCAACCTTGTACAGTTGTACCTAACGTTCTTATCTATGAATTTATCCTAAAACACTAATGAATCAAATACAAACAATCCCAATGCTTTAAGCCATCAACATCTCCAAATACGTAGTATAAAACAAGTCAAACTACTACTCTTCTGAATTAATTTTAAGATGGAACTCCAAAATTTAATATGATACCAAAGTCTACTAAGCTTGAAAGTAAAATTGGGTCATGATAAACAACAACGAGTCCACGGATTTCAATATATGTCCCAAACTTTTTAATAGAGAGGATACAGTCCCGTTAAACTCTCCTGTTGTTCAAGCCTTGTTGATGCAAAACCAGACTATCTAGCTAACTATAAAAACATTGAAAAAAAGATCTAGTCCTTGCAAAAAAAAAAAAGATCTAGTCAATGCGAGTTTACTATGGATGAACCATAGCCAGATCGGAAAGTAATCGAAAACCTATGTTGGTTCCAATTGCATAACCGTCTAATGATGCGGTTTCTAATTAATAATTGTCTAGGCCGGGCCGTATTTAGAGGCCGTTTGACAACACTGTTCTTCGGCTTATCAGCCGACTTTTTCACCAAACACGTAAGTTTTGCTTTCGCGTGCTGAATTGTGTAATAAGCAGAAAAAGTAAGATTAGAGTTACTTTTCTGGCTGCAATGGATGAAGTTATTTTTACATATGATTTTTTCTTTATTTTATTAGAAAAATATATTTTTAAAATATTTTTTTCTTAAATCAGCAGAATCAGCCAATGCAGCCACTTCAGCCAGAACTTCATAAATTTCAGTAGAATCAGCCAAAACAGCTGATTTTCGTGCTACCAAACGGGCTCTTAAGGTATTTTGATTTGTCATCGGGGTTGTGTTCACGCCATCTCTCCATAGTAAGTATAAAGTTACAAACTACTTCATCCATCTCACAAAATTTGGCTAAAATTGACTTGTTAGTAGAATTAAAAAGTAAAATTATGTTATTGAGATTTGTGTAGAAGAGAAAGAAATAATTTAACCACACATTCAATCATTCATTATTTTAAAAGGAAATCATATTTTTTTAGGATACTACATTAGGAAATTTGGCATGGGAGGGACTATTGTTACGGTACAGGATAGCAATACAACTTTTTAGGGTTTTTGTTGGCACCGATTGAAGTTTAATAGGAATAGGATTTTCTATTTAGCTTGACAGTTAGGTACTTTCACAATAATAGTACACAAGGGTACATGATCGGAGCCGTTTTCTTATCGATTTGGTTTAGGTTCTTTTTCACGATTACTTCTTGATGATTATCGATTCAATTGGTTTTGCCATTTTAGAATTTGATTTCTTAAAACTTAACGAATCTAATCCAAACTATCTAGGACTTGTGTCAAAAATATTGCTAAAAAATGTGTTATAGACAAAAAAGTTACTATTTTTTTAAATTTAAAAAAACGATACTATTATATCTCTTTATACGAATATAATCTCATCAACTAGTGCTAGAGTGACTAATAATCCGTCAGTGACCCGTCCTCCTAATGGCCCGCTATCATCATTATAGTTACCTGACTCGTCGGTTAGGTACCTAAACGGGAGCTTTTAAGCTCTATGGCCTCTTTGTCACCCCTCCATTTGGGAATCAATTCCGGTTCAAATATTAACACCAATGTCAATTGCCGAGTCAAACATGTATTGTTACGGAGTGCAGTCATTTGTGTCTTAGAGCGCGTTTGGTAGTTTACACATTAAAACTTTACATGTGCAAAATGATTGCATGTAAAGTTTAGGACGACGATTGGTTTGCATGTAAAATAGAAATACATCGTTTAACTATATTTGTTATCTACTTTTAAATTACGAGCTAACTATTTACATCGTTTGTTTGGAAAATAAACTCTCGTTTAAATATTACATACAAAAATAAACCACTTTCTTACTCTCAAACCCACTTTCTTAGATAAACTCTAAACATAATTTAATCATCTCTTTCAAAATAAAATTACACAACTTCAATTTCTTGGCACTACAAATCATGTCAAATAAACACCCCGATTAACTAAAAAAGAGTTGCAGCCTTACCTCTTGCAAAATGGAGACTAGGGAACCGCAGAAGATAGGTTGTGCAATAGTTGACGATTGTGTGTAATATAGGAGAGGAATTTTTTATTGGGAAAATGGAAATTAATAATCCAACCTTTTAGCGGTCTTCTTTTAATAATCCCACTTTTTGATTATTCATGAATAATCCAACTTTTGCACTTCATCTTCATTCATTGGTCCCTGGTCGGTTAATGACTTACTATTCCAAGTTATTTTCTTATCTTTGTAAAATATTATCTTTGTGAAAGATGAGATTTATGGTATAATGATTTGAAAAGATAAGAAAATAGCTTGGAATAGCAGGTCATCAATCGGTCGGGGACCAGTGAATGAAGATGAGGTGCAAATTAAGGTTGAATTATTCATGAATAACCAAAAGGTTGGATTATTGTAAGAAGACCGCTAAAAGATTGGATTATTAGTTTCCATTTCCCTTTTTTATTTCCTTGCCGCCAAAGTATTTTCTTTTGAGGGCACTCTCCAATCTATCACCCTCCCTACCTCTACGTAAAGTATTAATTAGTGAATGTAAAATAGTATACCTCTCTCCATGTAAAATATTTTACATGGTACGGTGTAAATCTTTTTTAAAAAATGTTTTATAATTTACATTAAATAATTAAAATAAACGTTGTAAAATACTTACTACCTTTTATTTTGCACGCAAAATGTTTACTTTACATCATACCAAACGAGCTCTTAGCGTAAAGAGTTGAGCTAGATTCGCATGGGCTATCTTCTCGAGCCGGCACAACCTTGGGGCTTGGGCTAGTTGCCCGTTCTTACTCTCGGACATAGAAATGCTCCGGCCCCATTATTTGGGCCTCCACCACTGGTGGGTCATCGGACGCCATAGTGGACCCTTGCATCTCAATTCATTTTTTTTTAAACGTAATGAGCGGTTAAGGTTTCTCCCCTCATTGGCATCATGTATTGTATTTCACCATTAGACCATGTAAACAATTGAGCTTAAGTACCTGTAAATCTTTACCACTAGATGAAGATATAATAGTTAAAATAAATAATTGATGCTAATTAAAGAAGGAATTTAGAGTGTAGAAGT